CTCAAAATGAAGGTGTTGGGTATCATCTTCTCAGTCTGCACTGAAGAGCCACAAGCATGCACACATTATTGAGTAAGCACACCACTGAGAACCCCAACCCCACCGTGCTAAAATCCTGTTGCATTAGGAAAGGCCTGTTTCCTGGTAAACAGAACTCTGGCATGTTCAAAATGGGCTAGCATCCTGGGATAGCCAGGCTCCAAAACAAGTCCAAAGTTTGCAGTCAAATTTAAGTCAAGTAATTAATACAGAATTTCTTGTTTTTCATTTTCTCTTTTAAAATCGGCATTAACCCTTCCTGACATTGCATCTCATACCGCTCACTCTGCTTTGTTGTGGTTATTTTGTTTGGTTTTGCTTCTTCCTTTGCTTTCCATCATTGCTTTTGTTTTAAGATCACGCACACTTAATAGTTTTCAACTTAGTGGGCACCTTCTACTTGCTGGCACTGGGGAAGCAATGGTGGTGAGAAGGTTGAACATCATTAGGGAATCAGTATTTGGAAGTGACTGGCTTTACTCCTGCTAGTCAGCAACTGCATCGTGTGCAAGGCAGCTTGTTGACTGAGGTGAACTGGCTTGTTTTATCAGTTAGGTTTGCGCAACTGATGCAGTCTACAGGTGTGGTCTACTTTTTTCCAAAGGAAGTGGCTCTTCAGCAACCTATTGAACCAGCATCTCAGGGAGCTGTTCCTGAAATTGTATACGTTTTTCTGTTTCTCATCATTTTAATTTTTTTTTTTTTTATTGCTCTGTTGCCCAGACTGCAGTGGCATCATCGTGGCTCACTGCAGGCTCCGACTCCTGAGCTCAAGTGATCTTCCCACCTCAGCCTCCCAAGTGGCTGAGTCCACTGGCGCCGCTTTTCAAACTTAAACACCTCAAAGTTTGAAAAATCAGTGATTTAGTTAGCCTGTGATTCCTAATTTTCTCTAATTATTAGGCAAGAAGAAATTCAGGGAGACACACTTTTTTTTTTTTTTTTTTTTTTTTTTTTTTTTTTTTTTTGAGTACCTGATTTCTTGCTAAGGAAAACTAGATAACTCTAAATAAACATCTCCCAAAAAACATCTCCCACCATGGCTTGCCCAGTATAAGAGAGTCATTCTTTCACTTTTAGGCCAGCATCCTCAGGAACCCTCTTTGACTGCAAATAAAATCATTTCAGCCATCAAAGCTTTCACTGACAGCAGTTACCAAGTCAGCCTCTAGAGAAGTCCTGAAATAATGCTAACAGGCTAGTGAACTTTGATGAGAAAAATTGCAGAGTGGAGACCCCAGGTTATTCCTGGATGGGGACAGACTTAGCTGGAGAAGGATGCGGGAACATTTGTTGAGTTCCTGCTGCAAGTCAGGCCCTGCGCTACACACTTTATGTGTATATTCTCTGACTCTTCAAGGCAATTACCTCCATTTATAGAGAAGGAAAGTGACGTTCCAAAAAATTACTTAACTTGCCCAAGAAGGCATGGCCTGCAAGTGAGAATAAAAAAAATAAAAACAACAACCCATACCTTTCTCACTGTGCCACTTACGTCCCAGTGTGTGCGTGTGTATGAGTGTGGCTGGGAGTAGGTCCTGTGTGATGAAGAGGCAGCATGAGGATGCGTGAACTTTATGGGGTGAGGTGCCCACAAAGAGGGGAGGTCAAAAGTAATCAGAATCAAGCTTCACCCACATTTCGGTTAGGTTGCCTTGAAGCGCTTTTCAATTACAAGCCCCTCAGATTTTCAAAAGTGTCAATTCAATGTCTTTGATTGCTCCTAAGAAATAGTTAGCTGGCTGGGTACAGTGGCTCATGCCTGTAATCCCAGCACTTTGGGAGGCTGAGGAGGCTGGACCACCTGAGGTTGGGAGTTTGAGTCCAGCCTGACCAACACAGACAAACCCCATCTCTACTAAAAATACAAAATTAGCCATGTGTGGTGGCGCATGCTCATAATCCCAGCTACTCAAGAGGCTGAGTCAGGAGAATTGCTTGAACATGGGAGGTAGAGATTGCAGTGAGCCAAGATCATGCCACTGCACTCCAGCTGTGGTGACAGAGCAAGACTCTGTCAAAAAAAAAAAAAAAAAAAGTAAAGAAAAGAAAAAGAAAAAAAGAAAGAAAGAAAAGACAGCCAGGGCTGGGTGCGGTGGCTCATGCCTGTAATCCCAGCACTTTGGGAGGCTGAGGCGGGTGGATTACCTGAGGTCAGGAGTTCGAGACCAGCCTGGCCAACGTGGTGAAACCCCATCTCTACTAAAAATACAAAAATTAGCCGGGCGTGGTGGCACACACCTGTAATCCCAGCTACTCGGGAGGCTGAGGCAGGAGAATTGCTTGAGCCCGGGAAGTGGAGGTTGCGGTGAGCCGAGGTCGTGCCACTGCATTCCAGCCTGGCCAACAGAGTGAGACTCTGTCTCAAAAAAATAAATAAATAAAAAATTAAAATAAATAAAGAAAGAAAAGAAAAGAAAAGAGCCAGGCTCAGGTTTAAGTCCCTGCTCTGCCTCTTACCAACCCACAAGTGGTTGGGGAAAATCTTTACCCTCTCAGAGCTTCAGTTTCCTCCCATAAAATGAGATAATAACACACTCACCTTATAGACTCTCTGTGAGAATCAACGAGAGAATGCAGTTGCAGCCCTGGCATGTGATGGGTACTATAAGATATATCTGCTATTTCAGGATTAAGAAACAGAATTTCTTTCTAATAGAGTTGAAAAAGCAGAGTACCCAAGAATAACTTAGTAACTTGAAGAGGCAGCAGGGATTAGATTCAGAATCACCTCTGTGGGGTAAAAAAAAAATATGGTCTATATTTCGTTGACAATAAATGTCATACCTGTTATACCTAAGGCAGTACATATTCCTCAGGTACACCAGCTGGCTTCCCTGTGCAAACTGCTTCAATCCAAAGAACCAGAAAAGACATGCTGGGGAAGAGGGTCCTCTTATATTTGAAATAAGGTTTTTGCTCCCCAAGGCCTTTTCACATATGTGTCCTTGGAGGCAGGCAGGGGTAAGTGTGTAATGACAGGGTCAAAGCACAGGCCAAGGGATCAGACATCCACCCTCTCCTACCAGTGAGATCGTGAGCGGGTCATTCACTTTTCTTATCTGTACAGTGGAGAAGATGATATCTAGGGTTGCTTATCTGACTTAAAAAGTAAGATGTGAATGTGGTTCTTGGTTGGTGTTCATCATCCAGGAGCCACCTCTTATTCATTTTTCTTTTTTTTTTTTTTTTGGTTAGTAACAAGTTTCAATGCATTGTTGTCATAGGGCTGCTGTAAGGATCCTACTGTAAGGATACAATAAGACCATGTGTGCAAGAATCTCAGCTCAGTACCCAGCGCACAGGAGTCAATGCATAGGACTTAAATGATCAAGACAGCAGCATCTCCATGCTCAGTGTGAGGAGGCTGAGGTTAAACAGCTAGTGACCGGTAGAGGGGGGTCAGACCCCTGGGACGATCCTGTATCCAAGCATAGGTTTCATGGTGATTTCATTATAACTTTGACCTGACAGGTAGGATGACTTGTTAGAGGTCCCAAAGTGTGTCAGGAATGCAGTGGGGAACAGCATCTGGTCCTCTGCTCAGTTGTCATTAATCCCTGGGCTGCGTGTAGCAACCTGCTCAAATGCTGCAGAGAACTAGCTCATCAAGCCATGAAGGCAATTCAACCACTCAGGGAAAAAAAGGCTTTGGCCTCCTTGTGACATTCCCTGGTAACCTTGCCTCTTGGTTAATCTAACTGACAGCTGGCTGCCATCTACACCATTTTATTGGTGCCTCTGCAATTATTTTGAAATTAAAAAAAAAAAAACTCAGACTCGAAGTTAGAGGATTTTTTTTTTTTTTCTGATAATGAATTCCTTTGCTTTCTACCAAGTCTTAGAAATTGACTTGGGCTGTGGACTCCCATCACCTCCTATGAACTTAGATTTGTACTCATTCTTATTTTGGACTAGAATCTTTACAAAGAATGAGCTAAACCTGGAGCTCAGAATTGATCAGGAGGAGTGAGAGGTAGAGCATAAGCATGTGTAAACCAGATAGGTGGGATGGCTGCGGTGTTGAGGCTGACAGAGCTGTTCTTTGAGGGATGGAGAAGGTACCGTCTGGAAGGGAATGGTGTGGCTTTCATAAATGAAGGGCCTCTGACACAGCCTTTATTATACACTGCCCACCTATAGCCAAGAGAGTGGGGATAAATTCTTGCTTTTTATCTTTGGCGATTTCTAAGCATATTGAAAAGAGCAGGGAAGGGGAAGTAGGGCAGATTTCAGAAGAGTCTAAATTTAAAGCCCTGTGACCATTTTCCGTAGTCACAGAGGTGGGATTTAATGTATCCTGCTCTCAGCTTCAGGATCACATGAAAGATGCTGGGCTGCTCTCCCTAGTGTACATCGTCCACTAACTAGAAATCTGCCCAAGCTGAGGAATTTTGCTAATCTGCGTATCTTGACTTTTTGCCCCAGACATTGTGCAGTTTCAATTTCTCCAGAATCTGTGCACTGTCAACCCATTTCTCCAGTTGCATAGGAGAGCTCTCTGTGCAGTTTCTTTTCTTTTCTTTTTTCTTTTTTTGAGATGGAGTTCACTCTGTCACCCAGGCTAGAGTGCAGTGGTGTGATCTCGGCTCACTGCAACTTCTGTCTCCTGGACTCAAGCGATCCTCCCACCTCAGCCTCCTGAGTAGCTGGGACCACAGATGCGCACCATCATGCCCAGCTAATTTTTTGCATTTTTGGTAGATTCAGGGTTTCACCACGTTGCCCAGGCTTTTCTCGAACTCCTGAGCTCAAGCAGTCTGCCCACCTCGGCCTCCCAAAGTGCCGGGATTACAGGTGTGAGCCACTGCGCCCGGCCCTGTGCAGTTTCAATAAGAATGGTGAGGATTGTGAGCTTCGAACCCAAAGACAGCAGGCTGAAAATACAGAACCTCATTTAAATTGTGGATTATCAATTGTTGAAAGAATTAGGTGCTATGAAGAAAGTCTTTTGAGCTTACCTGCCTCTCGGTCCCTGATACAGTAGTCTGGAGAATTCTCAAAATACACGAGGTCATTTTTTGTTGGCTTCTTAAACCTCTCGTTAGCCACAGTGAAACCTGTACCATCCTGGTTCATGACCACCTGGATGGCCCCATTGTACTTCCTCCAGAGATAATCGCCCGTTTTCCTGAAGTCGGCCATGGCCAGCCAGCATGTCCTGAGAGTACACGAGCCGCTCACCCCATGGCATTTGCACTCTTGTTTCAAGAACCGCTTTACAGCCTGCCAAAAAAGATAGGGGCAAGTTCAGTGAGGTGGCTTCGAGCAGGTGACACATGCTACAACTACTCTCCCTGCCTCCCAGTAATCCAGAAGTGACTCTCAGGATGCTGGATCCCGGGGCGAGTGACTGGGAGATGTTGAAGCATTGCTTGTCGCTTGTTAGCCACATTAGCCACCTGCCCTGACTGCAGCAGGCAGGACAGTGGGTAGAGAGGTGAAGGATAGCGCCTAACTGTGTACCCCACTGGCTAACAGTATAACAGAAACCTCACTATTTAACAGGGCATGTGGCCAGTTTGAAGAGTGAGGGACTGAATTATTTTCTAAATAAATAGAGTTTTATTATAGGAAACATATATACTATCCAATTAATGCTGTCCAGTTTAAAATAAAATAATATAAAAATGTATGCTATTATGCAAATTAGATTAACAAAATAACTGCTAAGTCCGAATCCTTCAATAAACCAATCATAGTAATTGGTACTACAGCAATCCTGTGCTACTGTATTTATTTTGCCGATGATCGAGAAGCAAGGCTGAGAGAGGTAGAAGCATTCGCCCAAAGTTACACAGCTAGGAAAAGACAGAGCCAGGCTGTCCTGCAAAGTCAGTCAGTGACCCTGAGGCTGACAGTAACTTGGGGAGATTCAGCTTAGATGACAGGGGTGGGTTTGCTCTGATCCTTCTTAGAGAGGAAGCAAAGAAACTGGGACAGGCTCATCTCGGCTGGCTCCCAATACGGAGACCCCTTTTCTGTGGGTGCAAGGCCTGTGGAGAGGAGGGGGGACGGGTGGGCCTGAAACTTCCAGGGAAGCTTCTGCTTTGTTTTCATGAGCCAGCGGAACAGCACTTTCCCCAAAGCAATTTGGTGAGCGTTATCCTGCCCTGGCCCATTTTCTCCTTTGCTCACCCAAGTGAAGAGATTATTAGTGCTCATGGTCCTCACAACAACTTTGATCTAATGCTCTTCCCATGTTACAGATGAGGAACCAGGGATGGGGAAGGCAGGTGACTTGCCCAAGCTCCGTAATAGGAATTCACTCCCACTCTCCCCAGGCTGGGCCTTGGCACTAGGTGTTTTTCCCACCTTACCCCCACCTCCATTGTGGATGGTGCACATTTGAAATCTGTCCCCCTCAACACGAGCCAGCCCTGGAGGGCAAGGATGGAGAAGCGAGCAGGAAGCACGTGCTTAGCTTGACTCTCCCAGTTACAGGGAGCCGGGCATCTTTAAAGGATGTCTTAGAATGAACTTCCTCTTTGGAATTACACTGCCCCATGTGCCCCACCCCCATCTTTATATTATGAGGGTTTGGTAGGAGGCTCACAGGATGGCCTGGATGGCAGGCCTCTGCCACAGACACAACCCTGGGAGTGCCATCTTGGCCCTACCACTCTGCGCCACGTGGCTGTCACCTGTCCTGGAGCTGTCCCTCCTAAGATCTTGGAGCATGCCACACAAAACTCACTCCACACCACGTACTTGGGAATTGAACGTGAATGCTCATTCTTCCAAGTTTATTCTTTCTAAATCTAGATTATTTAATCATAAGTAATATTCCTAGATTTAACAATGACAGGAACTATTACTGCTTCTCCTCTACTTTCTTTTTTTCTTTTTTGAGACAGAATCTCACCCTGCTGCCCAGGCTGGAGTGCAGTGGTGTGACTGTAGCTCACCGCAGCCTTGAACTCCTGGGCTCAAGCAATCCTCCTGCCTCAGCCTCCTGCATAGCTAGGACTACAGGTGCATGCCACCGTGCCCAGCTCATTTTAAAAGTTTTGTAGAGATGGGGGTCTCACCATGTTGCTGGGGCTGGTCCGTAAGTCTTGAGTTCAAGCAATCTTCGCATCTCAGCCTCCCAAAATGGTGGGATTATAGGTGTGAGCCAATGCATCTGGTCAGCCCTCCCTTTCTAATATTGAATTTCCAGATCATAAACTTCAAAGCTGATATTTTTATACAATTAATTGAAGAATTTGCATATTAATTGAAAATTGGATCTTAAAAATAACGTTATAAATCCTTAAAAAAACATGTGGTGGTGACGGACAGGATCATCTGTGCAACCTTCTCCCTTCCTTGCTAACAGTTTTCGTTCAGGTGTTGGGCAGCCTTGTGTTCCAAAGGACTCCTGACCCCAGAGTAATCTAAATCGCTGATAGTAATTTCACTGTCTTGCCACTAATTTTTTTCCAGCTTGGACAATGTGCTGGTTCAGTTTGGGCCAATCCTGTGATAGGAGAAATCTCTTAGGAGTCTTGTAAAAAAATGTTTCTTCACTCTTTATTTTTCATTTATTTATTTTGTTTTTGAGACTGTGTCTTGCTCTGTCGCCAGGCAACTCACTACCGCCTTCGCCTCCCTGGTTCAAGTGATTCTCCTGCCTCAGCCTCCCGAGTAGCTGGGACTACAGGCATGGGTCACCACGACCAGCTAATTTTTGTATTTTTAGTAGAGACGGGGTTTTACCATGTTGGCCAGGATGATCTCGATCTCTTAACCTTGTGATCTGCCTGCCTCGGCCTCCCAAAGTGCTGGGATTACAGGCGTGAGCCACTGCACCTGGCCATGTTTCTTCACTCTTTAAAAGAGACACATGAGGTTGGGGCACGGTGGCTTATGCCTGTAATCCCAGCACTTTGGGAGGCTGAGGCAGGAGGATCACTTGATCCCAGGAGTTCAAGAACAGCCTGGGCAACATAGTGAGACCCCGTTTCTACAAAATAAACTAGCCAGAGGTGGTGGCACATGCCTATGGTCTCAGCTACTCGGGAGGCTGAGGTGGGAGGATCGCTTGAGTCTGGTGTCCAAGGCTGCAGTGAGCTATGATTACATCACTGTACTCCAGCCTGGGTGACAGAGTGAGACCTTGTCTCAAAAATAACATAATAAAATAAAAGAGGCACATAAGGAGAAATACCTTGTCTCTGTCTCTAGATGCTGGTTTCCGTAGCAGCCTCTCTGCAACCTGAGGGCAGCAATGCCGACAGGCAGCAAGCTGCAGGCACACTTGACGGATGTGAAGATCTGGGTTCTGGGGATGCCGCTGAGCTGCTCAATGAGCCCACTTTGGACCTGCCCTACCACCTGACTTTTTGTGATCCAAGTGAGTAAACTTTCCTCCTTTTTTTAGTGCCTTTGGGATCTGTTACTTGTAGCAGAAAGTATTTCAGCAGGTACCATGGTCACTTCTTGGTGGTGGATTAATGACAGGCTTTATCTGACAATAAACCTGGGAGGAAATTGAGACAGCATCTCTAGTATTGGGCTTGCTCACGTCTCCAGCATCCACTGTTAACGCACAGTGCGTTCAGTGGTCAATCGCGGTTTGGGGCTACCTTCATCTCTTCTACGTACTGGGTTTGCCGACTTGAAATTCAAACCCTTAACCTTGAAGTGGACAAAAGCGTACTCAATCGGAGAGGCAGAGGGAAGGGGATGTAAGCCAAGGCAGCCTGTTTTCAAGAGTAACTGAGATAAGAGTAAGGATATGGGGGCAAGAAACTCACAATGAGGATTCCTAGTTTAGAACAACTCCAGTATTCAAATGTTATAACATGGTAACAGTAACAACCACGTATTGAGTGAGTGCTTCACTGTGTGCCAGGCTCCACACCAGGTGGTTTACACACATTATCTAATTATCACCATCAGGCAAAGTAAGTTATCATTCCCATTCTATGGTTATGAAAACCAGGGCTCTGTAAGGAAAGGAAAATCCCTAGTCACCCAGCTATTTAGAGGTAGAACAAAGATGTGAATCTCAGATCTGTGCTATTTCTAAAAACACACTTAAAATTCTACTATAAATCACACTGTGATTTTGAATTATGATTTGCATTGTGATTTTGAATTATGCATTCTATTTCCCTCCATCCTTTTTTTTTTTTTTTTTTTGACAGTCTCGCGCTTGTCACCCAGGCTGGAGTGCAATGGTGCGATCTCAGCTCACTGCAACCTCCGCCTCCTGGGTTCAAGCGATTCTCCTGCCTTAGCCTCCCGAGTAGCTGGGATTACAGGTGCATGCCACCATGCCTCGCTGTTTTTTGTATTTTTAGTAGACATGGGGTTTCTCCATGTTGGTCAGGCTGGTCCTCAGGTGATCCATCCGCCTCGGACTCCCAAAGTGCTAGGATTACAGGTGTGAGCCACTGTGCCCGGCCCCCTCCGTTCTTTCGAATAATCAAGAATTGACATAAAATATTACATACCTTTTGTAATGGGGCAGAGGAGGAAGAATAGGTAGAGAGAGAAATAATGGGGGATTACATTGCATCTTCCAAACTAATCATTAAAAATTTATTAGACAATTCACAGAAGAAATACAAAGTACTAACAAAAGGACAAAAAGGTGTTTGAGTTCATTAGTAATTGGAGAAATGCAAACTGAAATAATACACTTTTTTGCCTATCAAAAATAGTAAAAATGTCAATCGTTTTTAAAATTTTAAGAATAAAAAAATAGTAAAATAGTAAAAAGACTGATAATGTTTGATGTTAGAGTCCAGGGGAAGAGATGCTTTAACAAACCATTGGTGGGGGAGTACAGTGATCCATCATTTAAACGAGGAGTGTTTTTGCAATACCTACAAAAATGTTAAATGTACGTATCCTTGACCTTTTGATTCCACTCTGGAAACATCTGCACAAGCTTGGAAGGATACACGCCCACATGGATCTTCATGCAGCTATTGCATAATTAGTAACAGCAAAATATGAGGAAAAACCCAAATGACATCAGTAGGAAAATGGCTAAGCAAATTATGGTATATGCTTAATAATGGAATATTATGTGGTCTCTTAACAATGAAGTAGGTCAGTCTTACAGGCAGGCAAGAAAGTCAAGTGATATGAGCAAAATGCAGAACAATATATGTGGTATGATCCACTTTTTAAAGGCCTGCATATGTGTGTATACTGGCAGAAAAAGGGGAAAAGATGTTCTTTTACAATCTGGCTACAGTTTGAGGGATTTCATGGTCTCGAAAGAGGGG